TCGAATTACCCTAAGGTAATAAGAGAATAATCTTTATTTTTGGTGATCACAGGTCAGATCATCAATGACCACTTCGGTTTCGACTTTACAAATCTAAGGACAAATTCACCATATAATTGGATCATTGTTGAAGACTCACAGCATAAATTCTTACAAATTTACTTCATGGGCAATATGTAGGAGCAACTTGATCGCCGTCAAACGATCAATAACGCAATGAAAAAAGAAATTATTCAAGATGATGATTTGCAGAAAATACTTCATGAAGATCATGCATTGATTCGGTTGTTCAAAACTGCGTTGGATCGTATGCCAAGTGATGACTATAAAGTCGAGATCAGAGCAGATAAACGACCCGCTGGAACACACGAACGACAATTCAACACTTCAATAGATGAAGTCGCAATTTTTGTTCTAAGGTGGTACGAAGTTCGCCGGGTCAGCTAGTAAACTTATAAATAAAACCCTACAACACTGAATAAAATGATTTAGGTACAAAATAAGGGACTACGAGTACCATTAAAAAACCCTCTAAAGAGTATTAAATTCTTTTCGTAAATGTACAATTAGTATTGCTTATCAGTAAGTATCTTTGATAAAAAATGCAAACTTTACTGTTACATATCAAACAAAAGTTTAAGTGCTGGTTATAAAAAATTATTAAATTTTATAACTCTCTTGTCTAGTCACGATATCAACTAGGTACTAAGCATAACTTTATCTACGTTTTAGACAGAATAATGTAATTTTCATTCGCAACCAATTTGCAGAAGTTAAAATTGCTTGTAACGCGTGAAAGAATTCACAAGAAAAGTGAAAGAGAAATAAACTCAAAACGAAGAAAAGAAAAAACGGGAACATTAAACATACAAGGCGTAGCGTATAAATAACTGAAATAACTCACTTTTATATTAAGAAAAAATAGTTCTGAATTTAAGGTATTTTATTGTGTGATACTACAGTTTCGGCCAGAAAATCTTGGGCAGTATTTTACTGTGATTTAAAAAAAACACGATGTAGTCTATGCTTTATTATAATAATGATTGACACTTTTAAAAAATAAATTTTGACGTACGTCATCATCCAGATTCTAGTCTACGTCAAAATGACAAACATGGCGAATTTGAGGTTATCTTCAGGTAGAAATTGAATTTTGAATAGTAATAACATGCGTTATATGTACTTGGGGTTGATGGGGATGGGGTTTTTACAATTGTAAATTTAGTAAAGGAGATTTATTTATATCCGTCTGTTCATTTAGCAACACTTTTTGTTTAATGTAGCGATTTATTTTGAAGTATTCTACGGCGTTGAGTTTCGGTCCCTTGTCTAGATTTTGAATGTATCATTGAATGTGTGCTCTTCCTTAATTACATAGTTGACATATGTCAAATTTGTCTTTTTGGTGTTCAAGCACTTCCTATATTTTTGAATTCGTTCTTCGAATTTTTTACCCGTTTGTCCAACTATACCAGGTGATAGTCGCCACAAAATAACGTGTAGACTCCTGAGTTTTGTCTTTATTACTATTTATATATTTGTTCAAAGGATTATTTGCTTTTTTTATCTTGTACCTTAAATTTTGAAGTTTTTGTGGACGGGCTGTCAACGTAGGTTATTGTAATGTAGTAAAAGTATTCTTTTATTAGGGGGTATACTAAAGATATGGTTACTTTCTCTTTTTTAGGATATTACGAATATGATGTTTGATGTCGCTAGAAGAGCATGAATAAAATATGTCACTTTGTTTTCAAAAAAACATATTATGTACATACAGTATAAATAATTATTTTGAATATAAAAAAAGAGTTGTTTGCATCGCATTCAACACGAGATTCATAGTTTTATTCGATCCACAATTGTGTGTCTAGATTCTCTGCAATTGTTTCGAAAAGGAGTATTTAATTTACAAAAAAAAAAATGAGAAAAGAAGATAAGCCGACTGAATTCATTATTTCTTAAAAAATTGATATTGCCGTATGTTTTTTCTAATGGAATAGCTAGAAGAAGATCTATAGTAACCATTTTGACGTTAGTCTAATTTTATGTTTTTTTTTTCTTTTGGTATAACTAATATTTGGTTTTTCATTTCCCTTCTAGCGTCCGTCTATTTTCCTAAAACAGAAGTTCACTAACCGCACTTCTTAACTTATGAGCTAAATTACCAAATTAACAGAATATATCAATGATAATTAGAAATTATCAGTTATAATATATTAAGTGCATCGCAATGTTATCGATAATTTTGAGCAACAATAACTCGAATGCTTGTTGCATTGAAAACGCACGAGTGCTTTAGCACGAGTGCATTTTTCTTAGGCAACAAGCATGAGAGATTATTGTTGTTCAAAATTATCGATTTCATTGTGATGCACGCAATATATTCAACAGATTATTGCAAGAACAAACATTTTAAAAATAATTTTATAATGATTTACGAAGTAGTTTGGTGTGCGATACTATGGCGACGCAAGTAAATAAGAACAGCCATTTTGCAAAATTTGTGTGGGTTTAAAAAACCATGTCCAATTTTCGTTTTGGTCGTAACACGCCAAAAGAAATTGATGATTCTATTACAAACATTACGCCGCTAAATACGAAGAACTCACGAAATTCAATCTGGAGGCAATTTGAGAAGTTTTGCGGTGAACGCAAATATGTTTTTGATGGAAACACTTCCACGGAAAAACTAGCATTCATCCTCAAAGATTGGGGGTACAATATGAAAAAAGTCGATGGTAATGACTACAAAGAAGCAGTAATAAAAACGATGTGGAATGTAACGGCAAAGCAGTTGCAAGAACTGTATTTCAATAAATTTGGTATAAAGTTTGATCCTTTTGTTGACCTGGAATTCAAGGGTAGTAGAAATGCACGCGACGCAAAACGCCGGAACCTACAAATACAACCGGAAAAACGCAAAACTAGTTCCTCAATTTTGACTCTAGAAGAATACAACAAGATTCTAAAGATTTATAACGAAGACACGCCAGATGGTTTACAGAAAATGTTTTTTTATGTGGCTGGATTAGAATTAGCTTGGAGGGGATGTGAAGGTGTTAACGTTACTATCAAACATTTTAAGGAAGAAAGTGATAATTGTGGTTTGCCTACGGGGCGAATAGAATACAATTGTATTTTTTCCAAAACAGCTCAAGGAGGTAGCCATAAATTAACAGACAGCAAATGGCTTGCAACAAACACCACAGATCCTAGAATTTGCCCTGTTAGGTAATTAAATACTGTTTCAAATACAAAATAATAATTATTTTATTATTTAAGGCTCTACAAAAAAATGCTGAGCAAGAGAGGTAAACATATAACCACCGATCGTTTATTTTTAACGCCAAATCCTGCATGGAGAGAACCTAGTTCTGTAGGATGGTTCAAAAATTCACCCGTTGGAAGGAATGAAATGGGGAAATGGACAAGAACCGCCGCAGAAGAAATAGGCATCGACATAAAGAAAAAGAAGATTAGTAATCATTCATTACGGTCAACTGCAGTGTCGCAACTTGCAAAAGCGGGAGTCGGTGAAGAACAGCTTATAAAGATTACCGGTCATGCCAATACTTTCTCCATCAAACCATACCTTCAGCTCGATGGAGATCATCATTATCAAATGATTGACAAATTACGCGCCAACTCAACGGCTATGGAAGAGTCTAATAACAAATCCACAAATTGCGCACCGTCTGCTTTGGTACAAATGTCTAAAAATATAGTTACTACTTCACCAAGCACACAAACCCCTGTAAATTACTACAACTGTACCATAATTAATTACAATTCTTAGTTTCATAATTAAATATTTGGTTAGTAACCTCTTGTTTTTTTTTGCAATTAACTGGTACTTGCTTATCTTATAGTTGGCACATCTGGCTAGTGATAATTATCGGTAGTGGTAATTGCACAGTGTGCAATTATCACGTAATTGTATGCTGATTGGTTGAATTTACAAATATTGACGCGTTTGATTGGTCAGTTGACATCATGTGACATGTGAGTGCAATAATCATTAATAAATTTGTTAACATCATTTACAAATTTTGCAAAGTAAATCTCACTTGCATTGTACTATACTTACTGGTATGAGTAGTTTCTTACACAGTAGTGTAGTTTCAGGGAGGACTTTTTATTATTCACAGAAAACTCCTAAAACTGTTTGGTGACTTTGAAAAGAGTTTTTTCAATTTCATCCACTTTGGGGTGGATGTACTAGTTTTAGTGAATTCTGAATACCAGCTTAACGATTAAATGCTGACTGGTGTGATTAAAAATAACCCTATAATCCTGATATTTATGGAAACGTTTCGAAGTTAAACATTTTTAGCAAGATTTAAGTTGACATTTGTTAGGAATGGATTCTGTCGCAGTTTATGCCTGGGAAACTAAGCATAAGTAAAGCAGTTGATAACAGACTTCTTCGATTAACGCACATGGTGTTTTATGCAAAGTTTGGTGTCTTTAAGATGTTCTACCTGTATTACAAATTATAATATAACAAAAATTACAAATGTCTATGATACATACCGATGTAAAATAAAATATTCTCATTAATTTTCATTACTTATTAAAGGAATAAAACTAATACACTGCAAGTTCCGATGTAATGTATGTAGTAAATACCCTAAAATCATATAAGAAATACGTGAAAATGACTGCGGTTCAGTATTTAGCTTCCACAGTCTTTCACACCCCGATGAACCATAAAAGTCAACAAAAATATCGATACGTTTCTTACAAAAAAATTATCCAATAAATGCAAAACAGGCGCACTTGTCTCGGTAAGTATCTTACAACGGCTCGAAAGCGTAAAGATTTAGATACGTTTCTTACAAAAAAATTATCCAATAAATGCAAAACAGGCGCACTTGTCTCGGTAAGTATCTTACAACGGCTCGAAAGCGTAAAGATTTAGCAAAAAAATTATCAGACACAGTCCTAAATGTACCGAGGTATGGGTTTTAACATTTAACTAAATAGCGACTTACACTTACCTTCGAAAACACTTGAAAAACATGTTTCTGATTTATCAAAGTAGATACCAAAAAAATTCTTAACACACGTTTATCTGTAGAAACACAATTCTATGATGAATTTAGATTCCCATCAGTACACTTACTACAAAAAAAGATACATTTTATTTATCAGATATCTCTCAACGCGTGATAAAACTAATACTGAATTAGTTAAACAATAACTGACGTAATACATATAACAAATCTAATAAAATACTAATTGAAGTGTAATAAACGATAACAATGTAGACTGTTGAAGAAACATTGTGCAATGAGCGTTAAATATGAATTTACTAATACGTCAATTTTTTCAACCAATTATAACAATATTTTTTCAACCGAAAAAACAACAGTTTACTAAACCTTGAAAATTGGTTTAATGTTAAGATAAAATTTTTTGCACAATACTTTACTCTTTGCAAAAATATTGACTTAACGTTTGGGTTCTAATATATGAAAATATAATAATAAAATTAAATAGATCGTTTTTGGTCTGAGAAAATTGGTCTAAAAATTTTTAGACAAAACGTACCTCGCCCCTGAAATACAGGTGAACAAATGCAGTTTTTTTGTAAAATTGTAAAATTTAATTTGGGAATTTTATTTTTTTTCATTTCTATAACTTAAAATACTGATGTGTATCGACTGTTAAAGCACAATTAAAAAACCAAACTATGCGTATGTTTCAATTAAAACTTCAATATTCCTGGTCTGTACTCTTAAAATTAATTTTTTCATATTTCTAAGTTCTTCGTTAATTTTAGTTTTTTCCGATTTTAAGGACATAGCCTGATAATATCAAAATTTTAATTGCAGATTTATTCGTTTTGAATTAAGCAAAAAATGTTATCCCTATGCCATTTTTTTGTAAAATAGAAAATACAGTTTTTTACTTCCCGAGCGTAAGCAAAGGAAGTATTGTAATCGAGTCCGTCGGCCGACTCTCTACTTTTACATTTTCTCGATCTTTCATGACCCCTAGAAGACGAAGAAATAGGTCTCCCATTTCCGTCTGTCTGTCCGTCTGTCCGTCCGTCTGTCCGTCTGTCCGTCTGTCCGTCTGTTGTCCCGGATTTTTATTAGACAGATAATCTCCGAAAGTACTCGACCGATTGTTGTGAAATTTTGTACTTATATTAAGAATATCATGTAGATGGTAAAACGCTAACCAAAATTTGTCTAGTCATCCCCACCACTAATGCGATGACGTCACTTCAAAATTGTACATAGTAAATGGGTTTTCAATTGTATAAAATAACATAGTCCTACACATGTAGTTTACAACTCTGAATCGACTTTTCACCCGAAACGTCCAGATTTTTGGAAAAAAAATCAAAATTATAAAACAACATTTTGAAATTTAATTTTTAATCTGCTAACCAGAATGCTTTGAAACGTTACAGATGTTTTAAGGCTATAAAGAGCATCATAAATCTTTAGTCAAAAAATATTTGCTTATCCCCTCCAAAAACTTGATGACGTCAGCTCAAAAGTTTGTGGAATAAATCATATCTAAAATGTACAAAATATGATGAGTCTGTACTTGTGATCTATCACTCCATTCATATTTTTTGGATTTGCATATACAGGGTGACTCAAAAAAATTAATGAATGCGTAAATATATTTTATTGATTTAATCAGGAACTACAAAACCGAATGCTCTGAAATCTTGCAGATGTTTTAAGGTCATAAAGAGCATAATAAATTTTTAGTCAAAATATATTTGGTTATCTTCTACAAAAAACTGATGACATCAGCTCAAAAGTTTGCCGAATAAATCGTATCTAAAATGTACAAAATATGATGAGTCTGTATTTGTGATTTATCATTCCATTCATATTTTTGGATTTGCATATGCAGGGTGACTCAAAAAAATTAATGAAGGCTTGAATTTATTTTATCGATTTAATCAGGAATTACAAAACCGAATGCTTTGAAATCTTGGGAATATTTTAAAGTTATTATAAGCATGGTAAACTTTTGTTCAAAATGTATTTGTTCATCCCTCCTAAAAAAATTGATGACGTCATCCTTAAATTTTGCTGAATAAATCCTATCTAAAATGCAAAAAATATGATGAGTTTGTACTTGTGATTTATCATTCCATTCATATTTTTTAGATTTTCTTAAGAGGTGGTTCAAAAAAATTAATGAAGTCAATTTATTTTATTGATTAAATTAAAGGCAACACTTATTATTAGTATTACACCCCAACCAACCCAATTTGGTAGACACAAAATTTGTTAAAGGAAAAACTCGGTTGAAACATAAGGGTAGCACGCTTATTTACATCGACTTTAACATTACAGACCTGCATTTGTTTTATGCGCTCACTTGGTTCCGCGAATTTGAAATAGACATGTTTATAATCAACCAATTGTGAATTTCACCGTCAAGAATTAAAATAAAACCCAATGTTTTATATAATAAGCGGAAGTCGAAGCAATAAAACCGATGGTCGTTTTGTTTACAGTTTCTCTGTTTGACTCTCACGTATGCTGTTACGCCTGTCATCTTAAATTAAGAATGTTTATACATGCACGATTTTCAGTTGCCTCTGATACGTATACGTGAGTAAATTGTTTCGTTATTTTATTGATTATTACAAATCAATATTCAAAACGACCCAATTCATTTTCCCGAAAATTTGAGAATATAATAATTTTATTCTTAGTATTACACTACATCTATCCCAACTGATATACGTGTCCTTGCAAAAATGTTGATGACGTCATCGCATTTTTTTTTAAATTCCCACTACAAAAATGTAATGAGAAAAAAAACACAATAGGCATGCAGTCGTCAAGTTTCCGACAGCGAGGGAAGTACTGTCTAAACTCTTTAGACCAATTTTTTTCCTCTTGTGAACTCAATCCGGGGACATACCGTATATTCTCAAATCGTTGGGAATGGGGTGAACCGGTGGGGAAAAACGAATATACATTTTGATTAACAATTTATCATGCTTGTGAAAACCTTAAAACGTTTGGAATATTACAAAGCATGCGGTTTTTAAAAAAACGAAATGAACACTATGTTTCCAAGAATGCTAAAACTCTGACGAAGAAGCAAGTGGAAAAATTTATACTTGAAGTCCCTAACGAGAAATGGTTACTTGCCAAAGTTATCAGTTATCACCATTTTTGGTATATTTGGTTGTTGTCGGTGTGATGAGCTTCTATCCCTCACTTTAAACGACGTGGAAGATTTGGACAAATATATCGTTGTCACCTTACGCGAAACCAAAACTTTAACAACTAGGAGGTTGACAATAATGGTTGATGGCTGTAGTTTTAAAACTTCCGTTATTTATTGAAAATTGCGATTCTACGGCCTCACAAATGTAAGGACCTGCGGTTATTCTTGACGTACCGGAATGGAAAAAACATCGCCCTAAATGCAGGTCAACATAGTGTTGGCAAAGTACCTAAGAAAATTGCTGCATAACTAGGATTACAAGAGCTTGCAGTGTATACAGGTCACTCATTTCGGCAAAGTGGAACAACGATGGTTCTTGAAGCGTATGGTGATATTTTAACTTCGAAGCGTGTCGGGGGATGGAAATCAACAGCAATTGGAGAAAGCGACGTGGATGACTTAATTGATAACAACATTGCCTGGAAATGTCAATATTAGTGGAAATAACACCTGCACCACGATATTTAATGTAAACGACCGATGGTAAAAAGACATGATTTTCTAATGTTAAAAGTAATTAAATTGTTATATAGAAACTTTGGCTGTCATTTCAGATTATAATAGCGTAATAGTAATTAACGTTATAAGTCCGGTAACACACATTTTACAGTACGAGTGAGATGTTTCAGGACGAGGCGACGAAGGAGCCGAGTACTGTGGAAAGAGTTACCGGACGTATGTCGTTATGTATTTTATTTCATACTTAGTCGATTTTTAAACTCTTTAATTTAGATATGGATTATTCAAAATTAAAAAAAAAAAACAATTATCAAGTCACTGACTTATAATTTCGATAGCATATAAATTGTTTCATTTATGTTGATATTTTTATAAAAATGTCACAAGATGAAATTCCAGAGAATATTATTAAAAAATGGGTCGAAGCTACTGAAAAATTAATTCCGGCAAAGTCGATCGATCGATATAAGAAGGAATTGGAATTATTTAATCAATGGAAGCAAATAAATGACGTTAAGTCAATCAATGAGGAAGTTATGTTGGCTTATATGTTAGATTTGGTAAGAAGTTATATTTATTTTAATAATAAACCTTCACTGTCTGAAATAATTTTCTAGTCTAAAAAAATTAGTCGTTCTTCACTGTGGTCAAAACATTCAATGGTGAAATCAATGCTGCTGGTACATGAAAATGTCGACATTTCACGTTTTTCAAAAGTTACGGCATTTTTAAAGAAGATGTCAGTTGGATATGAACGTAAAAAAGGGAAGACACTCACTAGAGACGACGTAAATCGTTTTTTGAAGGAAGCTTCTGATAAGGAGCACCTATTGGCAAAGGTGAATAACAAAAAGCGTAGTTACTAGTATAAAACTAAGTTGTGTTTTAGGTCGTTGCAATGCTTGGTATAGTTGGAGGTTGCCGCCGAGAAGAGTTGTACAATATATCTCTTGATGATGTGCAAGATACGAGCTCGCAGTTCGTAGTGACTATTCCTATCAGCAAAACACATCAAAAGAGGGTTTTTACAGTAATCAACGAGGTCGAAGGAATAAAGTTTTTGGAACTGTACAGAAGATATGTTAAATTGAGGTCCAAAAATTTACCTCATAAGACGCTACTTGTGGGCTGTAGAAATGGCAGGTGCATTTCTCAAAGAGTAGGAATTCATACTATTGGAGCAATACCTAGTAAGATAGCCGAATTTCTTGAATTAGAAAACCCAAAAGCATACACAGGCCACAGTTTTCGACGTACCGCAGCTACGCTTTTGGCAAATGCTGGAGTTGATTTAAGTGTATTGAAGAGACACGGTGGTTGGAAAAGCTCAACAGTGGCGGAAAAATACATTGAAGAATCGATGGAAGGCAAAACAAAAATTGCTCGCATGATCCAAGGTGAGGAAAACTTTGTGCAAGTTTTGCAACCACAACAGAACTCAAATGAAAACTTTGGATCTACTTCCTCAGCAATTAATCTAACTGAGATTAAAAGTGTTAAAACTGAAAACATTCCTCCAGTTAAAGTTACAGAAAATACTAACTGTACGATTAATATAACTATTAATGTTTGAGGTATATTTGTATTTTTTATTATGAATAAATTTGGTTATTTTTGTTTCTTGTCTTGTATGTAAAGTTTTAGTACCGTAAAGCTTTATTTACCGGCCGCAAATCAGTCCGGTAAATTCGCAAAAAGAGCAAGTATGAAATAAAATATATGAGCACAAGTGTAAAAATTTTACTGACTAGCCAGTTACGAGACATTTTTAAGTGGACTACAGTGACTTGATAAACTGATGTTTACAAGTGAGGAACAAATAACAGTATTTTCCGGTGATCGTTTTTTAATGAGCCGATTAATGCATGATTTATGTACGAAAATCGTTTATTAATAAGGGCAATTAATGCATGATTTTTGGCAATCAGATATACAACCCCCTACCTGAAATGTCATATATATAACGCCTCCTGAAGTAGAAAAGGTAGATTTGGCTTCACTAAATTTAATTCCAGAAAAAAGCAAAGTGCTGTACCAAAAAACCTATGATGAGTTTGTTGCATGGTGCGCCAGAAAGCAGTAGTAAGGTATTCTGAATCCGTATTACTTGCATACTTCTCCGAAATTTTCCAAAAAGGCTTAATAGCAACCTTGCGGCCAAAGTATTCTATACTTCGGTCCACTTTAAGCATCCATCATGATCTGGACAAATCCAAATTTAATAAACTACTGATGTTTATTAATAAAAAATTTCACTTGTATGTTATACTTGTTTGGTTGCATATATCATATTTTGAATTTTCAGTAATTTAATAAAATTACGATCACCGGAAAAGTATTGTAACTAACTCAACTCTTAATTGACGATTAATAACCTCGAAATATGACACGATTCATCATCTTCTGTACATTTAAGATTACATTTCTTTGGTAAAATTTTGGGGTGACGTTATCAATTTTTTGGAGTGCAAATACATTTTGATAAAAAATTTACCATGTTTATGATAACTTTAAAACATCTCCAAGATTTCAAAGCATTCGGTTCTGCAGTTCCTCATTAAATCAATAAAATAAATTCACGTATTCATTAATTTTTTTGAGTCACCATTTATAAGTGAAAGGTTGTTTAATAAGCTTTTACTTTACAAAATTTTGTGATGACATCAATCATCATTTTTGCAAGAACACATATTTCAACTTAGGTTGGTGCAGTACTACTAATAATAACGTATTATATTCCCAACCCCTCCAAATTTTTTATTGAAAAATGGAGTCAGCCGTTCTTGGTTTAATTTATTAAATAAATTAATATATTCATGCAAATGTAAAAAATGTAAATGCAATGATAAATCACAAGTATAGACTCATCATATTTTGCATAATTTAGATAGTATTTTTTCGGCATGACGTCATCAATTTTTTGGGGGATATAGAGGTATATTTTGATCAACAATTTTCCATGCCTGCAATAACTCAACACGTCTGTGAGATTTCAAGGCATTCGGTTTTGCCGTTTTGATTTAATCAATAAAGTTAATTGAGTCATTAATTTTTTTTTGCATCAGCCTGTATAAGCAAATCCAAAAAATATTAATGCAAATGCAATAACTTGTAAAGTGTGCGGTATGTTTTATTGAACGATAAAAAAAAAACAAAATAAGAATGAGAAACGAAACTGCAAACAACACTCAGGCGGCAGCTCTTTGTGCAGGTGGCTGCTTGACTGCAAGTCATAAATTAGTGGAACGCCCGGAAGTGGCCAATTTTGCATTTTGCACAATCTCTAGATCATATACGTTAACAAACGATCAGTCAAAGACGAAATCGTATTTTTGTTTTAACAAAACTAAAAACAACTAAATTTTATTTTCCGTTACATTTTGACCAGAAGCGGTCCCTTAAATTCGGGGGCCTGATGGTCCAGCATCACCAGCATATCGGTATAATCCGTCTCTGTACAAGTACGGACATTGTAAAATATATTTAGGGCACATTATCAACGGGAATTGTGCTATCTGAGTAGACGTTTGTTTGATTTGAATGAGTTTATCGCCTCAAAACAGAAGATGACTAAAACTATTCAAACAAAATATTCTGAATGTTATTATAATAATTCTTACCCTATCATTATTTTATTATTGTAAAGACGAGCGTATTCTCACATTTTCTCGAAATAATAAATTGACTGATTTATTAATTTTGTTGAGTCACCCTGTATAAGTAAATCTAAAAAATATTAATGTAGTGATAAATCACAAGTATTGACTCATGATACTTTGCACATTTAAGATAGGACTTATTCAGCAAAATTTTGATCAATTTTTTAGGGGAGACATTTTGATCAAAAATTTACCATGCTTATGAGAACTTTAAAACATCTCCAAGATTTCAAAGCATTCGGTTTTGCAGTTCCTGATTAAATCAATAAAATAAATTCACGCTTTCATGAATTATTTTGAGACACCCTGACCAGGTAGAATATGCGTATATTTCAAGCATGTTTGTCTTAAACGTTTTCAATATTTCAGAGCATTCGATTTTGTATTTTCAAAGTTAAATTATAAAATGTTATACAATTTTGTTTTTTTATATAAAATTCGATATCTAATAAGGGTGGATTGATAAACCACAAGTACAGGAACATGCTATTTTGTGTAATTTAAGTAGGGTATACTTACCAAAATATTTAAATTTACGTAATTACATGTAAAGATGAAAATAAAATAAAAGTGAAAAGGAACTACCGTAAGTAATTCATCTGTTTTTTTTTTATTTTGGTAAAAATCCAAACGCAGCTGCATTTTACTCCTTAGGACACATTTTGTGTCAGACTTGCCCATATCACGTTCAGCTCTAGGCTCGACTTTACTCAACGCTCTTATGAATTAAAATTTTTACGTTGAGGGTTATAAGGGCCAGATAGAACACTCCAACAATGTCTAATTTGGCAACAAAATGTGTATCTCTGAAAATAAAGTGTTCTGTCTTTGGGTTTTTCTCAAAATCGAACAACAGTTGAATTATTAAAACCGGCCCCTTTTCGTTGAAATGCGTTATATTAAAAATATTACTTTAAAATTAAATTAAAAAAATTAAATTAGATCGAGTTTTGAAAACAAAAGGTGATTGCATCGCACAACAAAAATAGAAATTAAACTTATCTGTATAAAATTACTAAAATAAACAAAAGTTTTGGAATACATTTTTTTATTAAAACGAATAAAAACTATTACCATAATGTAAATAATACACATATTACTAATACGCCAAACGGAATCCTATTTATTTTAAATAATAATTAAGGCAATGTGTACTCACCTATTCAGTGGCACAGCCTCACTTGGGTCCAAAATATTTTCTTCAAATTTTGGATTTTTACCTTTTGCCATCGTTGTGAGTTACCAGAGTTTCGTTTCAAACTAGAATCAATTTGACAATAGCATACCAATCTGTGAACAGCAGATCATTCGACTAAACTTATTGTATACAGCAATTTACTAAATTGAAGCAGTTCAATAACGAACCTTGACTTTAAATAAATTGGTAATTGTAAATTAATTCTTTAGAAATAATGGATGTATTTAATACAATTTAATTTTCATCAATAAGCCTAGTCTTGTAATCATCACACAGATATGTGAATAATTTCCCTCCGCGTTTGTTGCAAGTTGTAATGAGTTATGATGCCAGCAGTGGCGGCTCCTCAGAGGAGGCAGGGGAGGCTGAGCCTCCTCTGTTTTTTGGAGCTGAGCTACCTCTAATTTTTTCGATGAAAGAATTTGTATTTTTATAGACATTTGTTACTTTTCAGAATATTTTGTTTGATTTAATTTACTTTCATCATATATCAGGTTAAAATATCGAAAAAAATTATATTTGCGCCCTTACAATCATAATTCACACCACTCCGCGTTTGGCTCCAGCGGTAGAAGCTAGCCTCCGCCGAGAATGCATCTTACTATTGAGACCGCAACCTTGACGCATCATCGTTCAGCACTGCATTGGCTAAAATGTTCATCGGGGTGCCGCTTCAGGCCGCTAGCCTCCGGCTAGTGCATCTCTTTTCAAATCAAGTCGCACGGATAATTTTATCTCTTTCTTATTAACTGGCGCGATCGGGTGTAAATTGGAAAAACATTGAGGTGGTTTCGCGTGCTCCCTATTCAGTGGTGAATGGTGTTTAGGCTTTAGTACCTACGTAAAGCCTAAGGTGTTTTTTATATCATTTATTTGCGTTTTATTTCTGATCGTTAAAAACAGCTGGTATTATCGGCATATTAATATTACTTATACTTAACGAGAATGAGCAACGAAAATAAGGCAGTCTCATGTGCAGTGTAAAGGCATGAAAAATCACGGGAACATATATTTTCTTCTACTACTTTAGATTCCGCTCATAAGAGGGATATTGAGAACTATAACGAGAAAGTTGGTGCAAATAGGGCAATTTTGAAAAGACTAATCGATGCAATAGTTTATCTCTAGTGTTCTTTTCGTGAGCATGACAAAAAAAATTATTCAGATAATGAAGGATATAAAAAGTAGTGGTTTTCAAATTTGAGCCTCCTCTGAAGAAAACTTCACGAGCCGCCACTGGATGCCAGTATATCAGACAACAGAGTAAATTGGTTAATTAATTGTTGATTGAAATATTAATTGATCCTTCTATTTCGACAAATTTTAAAGTGTATTATATTGATATGCAACACGTTTGACAAAAGAACAATATCTTAAAATAAAATCTGTAATACATCAAAGAAGAGTGTAAATTTTGTGTCACACCCAAAGCCACTTAAATTGTACCAGATTTTTAAATAAGATAAATATTATGTGTCTATACATACTATAATTACTGATCCTAGCAGGCGCTAAGGATAACTAATTTGGATTCTTAATGAGCTCATACTATTAAAATGACTTCAAATTCCAAATCAATTTCAATGTGGCAAACATGCATTTCTAGAATCTAGTTCTTATTAGTCGTCATTTCCCAAGGAACGTCCTCAAAAAAGAGTTATAGTAATCATTTATGTAAATATTAATATCAAAATTATGAAAATTCAGCTGTTGTAA